CTATTTTTTAAAAAAAATTATTAATAACTCAAAAATTTGATTATGAAACCATCTTTTACATTCTAACAAAAAAAATTCTTTGCTAAATTTTGATATAAACTATATTTTCTTCAACTATAACATCACCCTAACTCTAATCTTTAAACTGCAAGAGCTTATTTATAAAAAAATATTGTTTTGATATTTATGTTACACCTGATCTTAGTTACGGTTACAAAAAATTTATTGTAACCTACGGTTACAAATCGATTAATCCTAGTAAATTTTCTTTTTTTTTTAACTTTAATTAAAAATTTCTTAAGAACTATTGATTCAAATTTAATAAAATTTTTAATTTAATTTTGTAAGTTTATAAAATTAAAATAAAATAAAATTATTGAAATTGAGTATAATTTGCAAACTATAATTATTTAGGACCTTTGTAATAGAAAGAGCCCAAACTAGAAATATATTATTTTTAAGATAATCAGGTTTGATTTTAGACTAATCCAAGTTAATCAAAATTGATTGATTAGTTATATCAGATAATTTTATAATATACAAATCTTCTAAAAAAATTTTTTTGATTTTTATTACAAAAATCTATTTCTATTTATAATTAAAAAATGTAGTCTGTATTATAATTTACTTGGATTTAACAAAACTTAATTTTTATTTTTGGACAGTTTGGGTTCTTTCTATTGCTATAGTCTTATTTATTATTAAAATCCTATATTTTTGCAAATTATCTACAAAAAATTATTTGATTGTTAGATAAAGATATCTATTTTTTACTTCTTACAATAAAAATACCTTAGATATCATACCAATTTTTTTTTTATTCTTTGATAATCTTGCCAAGACTTGTATACAGTTTACAAATTAATCTCAAAAGACAATTATGGTTGTAAAACAACATAGCTACAACTAAAAGCCCAACCTTACCCAGTTACCTATTGGCACCTAGATGTAACTATTACACTGATTCACAGATAATTCAGATTATATGCTGGCTCTTAAAAAACTAAAATATTAAGACTAATTTCCCTTCTAATTTTTCTTTCTTCTCAAGGGTCATGAGACAAAGAGGAGAAGAAATAAAAGTTCTTTAACAATACAACAAAAAAAAAAGAAAAAAAAGAACATAGATTTCGAAAAAGAAAAAACAAAAAAGAAAGAAGACCTAATAATACTATTATAACCTGTACAAGGCTTAAAAATTTTATAACAAATGCAATATCTATATATTCCTGCTATAAGACTTTGCCTTAATATATTATTTTCTTTTTGACTATATGACTAATTTTGGGTATACCTTTAACCAGTATTGTACATTTTTGCTGTCCACAGCCTTTTTTGACCTTGTCTACGTCCACAATGTCCACATGTTCAAGATTGTTCAAAGCTTTTCCAAGCTTTAATAATTAATAAAATTATTTAAAAAATATATAATTATATATTTTTTTAGATACTGAACATATTTTACTTAAAAATAAAAATAGATTATCTTAATAAAATATTGAGTAATTTTAACTTATTTATTTGTCTACAAATGTCTACAAATGTCCAAACTTATGTCCATAGCTGTTCCATGACAACAATGATTATACTATATATACTAATGTATATATATTTATAAGTATACTATATATAATAATACACAAATATAGATCGATCTTGAGATCCAGTAATCAGATTTTTGTGATTTTGGGCTTGTTAGAATCCTCTCTCTAAGAGGATCATTTTGGTAGTTAAATCATCTGAATTGGTCTAATAAAGCAAAAGTTAAATTTTAAAATTTAATATTAAATAACTTCTGTTTTACTGGGCCAATTTAAATGATTTAACTACCAAAATGATTCTTTCAATGAGAGGATTCTAACAAGCCCAAAATCATAAAAAATCTGATTACTAAATACTGAGATCGATCTAGATTTGTATATTATTATACTGTATATACTACTATATATCTGATATAATATATAAGATTTTAATATATTAGATTAAATTTATTAATATTATAGTTATATACTTAAAATATTACTATAATATGATTCTATAATTACTATATCAACTTATATCTATATAACTATTATTTTTGCAATTGTTATTACTAAAAAAAACTAAAAACTAATATCTATTTTTGTACTAATTTCAATTTTGTTTTAGATTTCAAATCTTTTTATAGCTCTGTTTTTTTGAAACAAAAACCTGTTAAAGAAAGAAACCTATTTGCAAATAATACAAAAAAACAAGAAAAAGAAAATAAAAAACTAATACTTATCTTTATACTAGCTTCAATTCCAGATCTATAATTTCAATCTCAAGTTATATATTTCTAACAAAATAAAAACTACAAAAAAGAAAAAGACTAGTAAAACAAAAAAAAAAAAAACAGTAAAAAAAAGAATAAGAAACTAGTACTTATTTTTGTATTAGTTTTTGGATTTAAGGTTTTAAGCCCAGTTCTAATTTCATATTTGCAAATAAAATGCAAAATCTACAAAGTGAAAAAAGAATTTAGTAAAATATAGAAAACAACTACAATAACAAAAAGAAAGATAGACTATTATTTTTAAATATTTTTCAAATCCAAGGTCTCAGGTTTGGTTCCAATTTACTTTTATTAACAAAATACAAATCTACAAAAAAAAAAGAAAATATTAGTAAAACATAAAAACTATAATATCAAAAAAAAAAAAAAGACAAAATACTAGTACTTATTTTAATATATATACCAAGTTCAAGTATTTTTATATTTAAGATTTCATGTTTGGTTTTAATTTATATTTTTAGCAAAATACAAAACTTGCAAAAAGAAAAAACATTAGTAAAATATAAAAAACTATACCAACAACAAATAAAAAAAAATAAATAAATTATTATTTATTTTAATACTAGTTCTAAATATTTTTAGATCAAGATCTTAGATTTGGCTTTATTTTATCTTTGCTAATGAAACACAAAACTTACAAAGAGAAATATATTAGTAAAATACAGAAAACCATAACAACAAAAAAAAAAACTAGCACATATCATCATAGACAGATATTTATATAATTAGTTGATCTATTTATGATTTCTTGTAAGAGGTGTGCTATTTATTACATAATTTTTATTTACTATATAGTTATATCCCCTCCTCCTACATGATACTATATTTTTAAAATCATGCTCAATCATGTGACCACTAGCCAATCAAATTGCAAAACTTATCTATTCCAAATCAAGACCAACATAATAAATATGACCAGGATGACCACGGGTCATGTGTGTAGCGCCATCTGCAACAATTGTTGCAAATAAATTAGTATTAGATCTATAGTGCTATCGCTAGAAAATTTTTGACCCTGCATTGTGTATCATATATATTCTGATATTAAACATTGGTGGTGCCACCATATGAACCATAAAACCATCGGCTACCCTGGTCGTGTTAACATGATAGCTTTTAAGAATATTGGATTAGACATAAATTTTAATTATTTGAAGTGAATAAGTTACTATTTTGATAAGCAATCAGCAAGGCAAACTAACTTTATTTTTTAAAAATTTATATTTTTTACATATCAACTATAATAAATAATAAATTCTTAGCAAATTTCTACCTAATCCAAAAAAATTATTAACCAAACTATATTGAATACTGCTATTCTGTTTTTTACCTATTTAAATTTAAAAACTTGCCCAAAATGGAAAGGTTTGGGATACTGTTTTTCTGATAATGAATTTATAACAAAAAATTTAAATTTTTAAAATCATTAAAAAGAAGAGTGCCAAGTTGAAGCTTCAGCAGTTGGTGTCTATATGCTAATATCGTACAATAACACATGACTTTTTCTTGTGATTCTGATATCAATATGTTCCAGAGCTACTAACCCCAAAAGTCAAGTAATGCAATTCATAGTCACACATATAATAGCCAACAAGATGAAAGCAGCAATACCAAAATAGTCAAGGGAAAGGCTTTGCAAAAAAGCATGAAAATCTAAAATAAATTTGAGTATATCTTTGAATTCATGTGAAAAAGAAGCAAAAAAAAAAATTTTGTATGAAAAAAATCAAATTAAATTACAAAAAACTACTTTCTATTATTAAGCTCAAAGCCTCATTAAATAGAAATCTTAGATTCACAAGCTAAAATAGATAAGATTGAAGGTGGCAAAGTTTGTAAAGAAAAAAAAAATTATAAAAGAAGTATGAAAATAAAATTAGTAAATATTCTGAATTTAGATTAATAATTCGATAATAGCTTTTTTATATCTCTAAAATTTCTAAATTTTAAAGATGCCATTTTTACGCTTGCAGCTGTATTGATAAATAAATAAACTGCCAAGTTTTTCATTAATTATTAAAACTTAACACTTCTTAAGTTCAAAATAAGTCAAAGTTTTCTTTCAATACCCAAGTTTTCAAAAACCTATCTGTATGCCACTCCTAAAATCTTGTACCATGAATTTTGTAATGCCTTCGCCTATTTTACGATAGTTAAAGCTTGCAATCTGAATATAAAAAAGCAGGATTTAATGGATATAGCGAATAAAGAATGGCAAAACTATTGAAAAGAACCTGAAATAAAAATTAGAAAACTAATTAATCAATTTCTTGTAACAAGTCCACCAATTATTCGAATAGCAAACTTTTTTCTCCCCCCAAATTTATCTAGTTCAAGATCATCAAATTCAAATTCTAACATTAATTCCAACACCAATTCTAGTACTAACCCTTTACCTTTATTTAACAAACCACCTACTGTTGCCTCTAATGCATCGGCTCAACGTCATGCATTGGAATTAACTCAAGAAGCAAAATCTAAGATTGATGAATATAAATGTCTATTGATTTATACTAGTGACAAGGACCTTCGATATCAAATCTATGGAAAATTAAAGAATACCCATGAAACTATTGCACAAAAAAAAAAGCATTTCAATTTGCTTCAAAGTCATGCCACGGCTTAGAGAATATTTTGGAAAAAAAGAAAAAAACAACTTAATGATGAAATTGTTAAAATCTATAATACTAGAGAATGCTTATCTGAATTCTAAAAGAATCTGACTTACTCGACCAAATACATGAATATGTTGAATATGGTGTAGCCAACAAAAAAAGAAGAAAAACTGTTATTAAAGTTTGAACTATTAAGTATTTAAAAGAGGCATTACAAGAAAAGTATAATATTTATATTGCTCAACAAACAATATATGCAATACACTTTGTCATTGCTATTCTACAAATATTAAAATCAATATCGTTTATAGGTCTGAGATGAAATCTTATATTGATGAACACTATTGTCTTGTATCAGTCAAAATAGTTAAAGTGTTTGCTTCAACCTTTGCCAACTATAGCCTTATCATCTTACAAGTTGATAAGGCTAAAATTGGCTTATACATACTAGCTGTTGGTAGAACTTTTCAAAGCATACAATCTTTTAATGAACCTGTTACTATCTCTGACTATGACTTTCTCTGTGGAGCAAAACAAAAACTTATACTTTTAGTTTATCTAATTATTAACCCTGAAGATACTAACGAGTCACTACGTCAAGGCCAACTATCAATATATATTCATCCTGAATATTTTGTAGAAACTTCTTCAATATCACACATAAGAGATTTACTTGATATTTCAAAACATAATGAGTATACAGAAGTACTAAAAAAAGAAGCATTCGATCTGTTAAGAGAAAATAATGGGTTTATTTCACCGTTAGCTAAAGGAAAAGATAATCATTATTTGAACCCAATTCACATTTTGCAATATATAGATAAAATGAAATTATCTAAATATGATGAAATTTGTCCTTCAATATTGTCGCAGATATATTAGAGACTTTGTTGCAATAGTTGTATATCAGAATCCCGACACACAAAATCCCGACACACAAAATCCTGGCAACAAAATCCCGATACACAAAATCCTGACAAATTAAAATCCTAAAAATATTAAAATTAGGAATTTCATTTGTCAGGATTTTGTGTATTGGGATTTTGTTGCCGGGATTTTGTGTGTCGGGATTTTGTGTGTCAGGATTTTGATATACAACCTGTTGCAATATATGCAAAAAATATTTTCCTACTATGAAAATGATCTCCACCTATAAAAAGGCAAATCATCCCAAAAAAACATGCAAAAAAAATACAAATCAGACCTTTGTACATGATTTTGAACCTTTCACTGAATTCACATCTAATATGTCATCCACCCACTTAATTTCTTCTCCAAAATCTATGATACTATATTTTTCTGCAGAAGAAGTTAATACATTATTAGATCATCTTGGTACCCAACAAATTGAATTAAGTAATACAGCCTTTCTGGAAGACTTTTCCAATTTACCTTCTATTGTTCTTTCTTACAAATCCAAAACTTTTAATTTACTAAAAGCACTTTCTAATGTTAAATGAAACTATAAGTAGCTAAATATCTAGTATTGATTTAAGTTAACCTATTTATTTTACTTTGTTTAATTCTCTTATATTTCTTCTTTCAATAAGCAGTGGCTCAAATTATAAGACATAAAAAGATATAAGAATGATTAGTATTTGTGTATTATAAAAAAAACTAAGTCTGGGAATAAGAATAATATAGCACCTCTTTTCTGATAAATAATCTCAAAAATAAAAATGTTAGTCTTATTACGTTTTAGCATGGGCTAATGAAATACTTTTATTTAAATACAGTCAGACCTCCCTAAATGCACATTGCCGGGACCATCTCTAGAGCATGTATTTAAGAAGGGCTGCAATTAGAGAACACTAATAAAATCGCAATATTACTGTTAGCACGTGATAATGTGGCTTTAGTAGCCTTGAAATAATGAATTTGATTGGCTGGTAATCCTGTGAATGCATTTATAGAGGAAGTTTTTATAAGTGGGCCAGACGGTTAGCATGCACTTACAAAATAAAGAACGTGTATTTATCTATAAGTCCCACCATGGGCCTGGGCTTAATAATGCATTTAGAGGGGTGCTGCATTTAGGGAGGGTGCATTTAGAGGGGTCTGACTGTATAATTAACTTGATTAACTAAAAAGAACATGACCAAATAAAATCTATATTACAATTGTTGCTATTCTTTTCCAATTTTATTCGCTTTTTTGGCTGATTCGCTAACTACAGTATTAGTATCAATATTAAGGACCAATTAAAATATTAAAGCTTATATAGACGTGATAAACCATTGCCACTCCCTCTCTCCCTAAAAAATTATGTAATAAATGGCACACTCCTAATAATTAACCAATAAAAATATATAGTTTTAATTGTACTAGAAAATGAAAAAAAACTTTCCAATATTATGGTAGAGAGGCCTTTTTAAACTCTCTACTATAACAATGATATATTTACAAGAACCTTTTATAGATTTATAGCAGTGTCCAAGAAGTAAATATAGTTTTTTGTATCTGTTAAGAAACTATATTTATCTCTGGGCAGTTTGATAATAATACAGTATATATTTTTACTAAAAATTATTCATTAAGAAAAAAGATTTAGAATTTATTCATTAAAGAAAAGATAAAAATTCTTGTCTATCTTTAATTTAAAAAAAAAAATAGAGTTTTTATATTTGTTAAATAAAGTATCAATATTTATAAATAATTATCATCAAGAAGTAAGTGTTAAGTATTAAATATCAAGTATTAAGTATTAAGCATTAAGTATTAAACTATTGTGCTATATTATTTTTTCTAAACTGAATAATAACTAAAATAATAATATATAAAATAATACTAAAATTTATTCTATAATAATAAAGAAGCTTACAAACTAATGAATTTATACAAAAAAATTCATTATTTATATTTAGAAAATAGATAGATATATGTATAGTGGGTAAATATGATATTTATTACTTTTTTTTTTTTTTAAGCGATCCTGCCTTTATTCATGTGAACTGCTATAAAATTTATATACAATGTACTAAATTTTT